CCAAAACCAAAGTAATAAGAAAACTTTGAACAAAGCAGTGAATGTTCAACTGAGTCAAATGCTTTTGAAGAGTCAAGTAGACACAGCACCTTTGTCGAAAGAAATTCGCAAATCGTCCATAATTTTAACCATCGCGGTTGAACGTCCATGCCCTCTCCTAAAGCCTGATTGGTAAGGTGATAACAAGTTTTTGGTAGACATGTGAGAGGAAATTTGCTCAGACATTAAAGACTCTAGCACTTTCGAATAAACAGGCAGGACACTAATCGGACGAAAATCACACGAGGAACGCGCATTTTTTTTTTAGCAACAGGACAAACAGAGGCAACTTTCCATAAGTTTGGGAAACAAGATGTCGTAAAACAGTGGTTAATTATATGAGTCAACAGTTTACACATTTTACATTACATTACAGCATTACTAATTTTATAAATTTGATCGGTAACCCATCCTCTTCAACTGCATTCGACTTAATTTTCAAAATGCATCTATACACGTCGTCTTCCGATACCGCTGAGAGCTCGAAAGGTACGTCAGAGTAAAAGGCCGAAGCAAATGGAACAAGTTTTGACAAGCAACCGTTAGACGAAGCACTGCACAGAAAAGCCTCATTCAAACTATCAATATTTAACATACACTTAGGTTGGTTCTTATTAACATACACTTAGGTTGGTTCTTGGAATTTATACGAAGGTTTTTAATATTTCGCCACAAAGTAGCTGAAGGGAGAGAAGGATCCAGCTTGACTGCAAAGAAACGCTGCTTTCCAGCTCTAATAATTGAAGTGGCTTTATTCCTTGCCGCGCGAAAAGCATCCCAATTCGCGCTAGTACGACTTCTTTTCCATTTGCGGTACGCTTTGGTACGAAATTGTATGGCCCTTAGGACTTTCGAGGTAAACCATGGACACGAAGTCGTTTTGGCATATCGTAGTGGAACGTGAGCGTTATAAAGAGATAATAACAAATTAGATACAAAATCAAGTTTATCATTCACAGACTCATAATACCAACATTCACACCAATTAACATTATCTAGTTCTAAGTATAGAGCACTCAAGTCAAGTGAGCGAAAGTCCCTATAGGCATATATTTTTTCTGCTTTACTGACATTAGAATTAAGGTCAAGGGAACAAAAAATTAAATCGTGGTCAGAAATAAAAGAAATCTGGTCAAACCTTAACACAGAAGAGCGATCGGAAACGACAAAATAGTCAAGAAGACTAGGGTTACAGTTGTGGCTGTACCTAGTAGGCACCGTGGTGTTGACAACAGAGAGACCAATACTTGAGACGTTATCAAAGAACGAGGAACACAGCGAATCACGAACAAGAACATTTATGTTAAAGTCACCACAAAGTATGATATTTTCATAATCGACAATCACCTGTAACGAAGCGTTTTCCTATTAAGGCCCCGATGCTTCTGTTTTCTATGCTGGGGTATACTCGCCGTGCCCAGGGTCCGTTACAATAAATTTATATTGTGGGGCCTTTGCAAATAGTACTTTATTTAATTGCTGCTTATTCTCTATCACGTGGAAATTCTTAACATTACAAACATAATATCATTAACGGGACGTAAATTCCTAACGGTGCTATTCTATCGGCGCTGCTGTATCGCCGCTCTGTCGCTGTGCGACGCCCGCGCTCTGCTTCTGTGCGACGTCGGTGCCCTGCTACCAGGCGGCGTCTGCGCTACTGTGTCGGCGCTCTGCTAGTATGTGACGTCGGCGTTACTATGCCGGCCCTCTGTTTCTGTGCGATGTCGGCGCTCTGCTATGCCAGCGCACTGTTATCCCACGATCGGGCGTCGCTGCCGCGCGTGTTCGCGATGGACTGTGGCGTGGCGGCGCTCTACCCTTGAATAGCCAAGCCTTGTGTAGTCGCCTATCCACAAGTCGAGCGCTATTCGTTTGTAGCTGTGCGTTCACGACCACAGCTCCGTTACTGACGCGTAGACTGCTGGCGCTCCCCGTTGGAGCGCGGCTGCTGGGTGACTTCGGCGCTTCTCCGTTGGTGCGCGGCTGCTGGGTGACTTCGGCGTTGTGCTGGTGGGCGAACTGGCGTCGCCGTCGGCTGACTCACGGTGTACTGCGGAGCGGCGGCACTCTACCCTTGAATAGACAAGCCTTGTTTAGTCGCCTATCAACAAGTCGTGCGCTATTCGTTTGTAGCTGTGCGTTCACGACCACAGCTCCGTGCTGACTGTCTCGTATATCTCTGAGTCACTTCTGTTATAGCTGGTGTTCTTCGTGTTGCTGAGTTGTGTGGCTACATGTTGCGTTGCTATGGTGACGGTGTCGCAAAGGAGTGTTGATACGGTCTCCCGTGTTGGTTAGCCGTTTCGATGATGTTGCTGTAGTCGTTATTGTTGCCGGTGCAGTCGTTATTGTTGGTGTAGGGGTTTGTGCTCGTGTGGGCTAAATTCCGCGGATATTTAGTCCTCACA